GGGGGAAACAAGCAGGTTGCAACACTTGGGTTGGAAACAGTAAATGTATAAAAGGCATTCAGCATGAAGTTATAAAAAAAGACAATAGATCAGGTCAGCAAACAAAGGGGACAGAGAGGGCGCAAGGGACTAGCTCCCTTAAGGTTTACTATACTAATGCAGGGTGTAAGAAATAAGATAGATGAGCTAAGATTAATTGCAAGTGCGGGGAGAATGTTTATTATTGCTATACAGAGACCTGGCTCAATCTGAAAGATAGGGGAGATGCCCTCTGAATGTCACATACAAGGCTATAAATTTTTCCCCACACTGACAGGGTCAACAGGAAAGGTGGTGGAGTAGCGTGTATGTCAGAGACAATTTAAATTGTTGTGTTAGAACAAGATATTAAAATTAGAAGCGTCAGCCACTGAATCTGTTTGGTTACAGCTTCTCGAGGGCCCAGAAAAACTAATTTTGGGTGTGGGTTTACAGGGCCCCAAATCTTGATAGGGAGTGCAGTAAACTTCTATGGGACGAAATTTGTAAGGCATCTACATACGAAAATGTTGTGCTAATGGGAGATTTCAACTATGACAGATTGACTGGAGCAATTTGACAGGAAATTTGAGTCAGGTGACTTTCTTGATACGATCCAGGATTGTTTTTTAAAACAGTTTGTGACAGAGCCAACTAGGGGAAATAACCTCCTTGACTTGGTTTTTTTGCCAGTAGGGAAACACTAATTAATAATCTGAGGTTAATGATGAGCTTGGGGAAAGTGATCACAATCACTCAGTTTTAATATATCATGGAATTCCCCTAATAATGGCAATCAAGTCTCCGTCCCTGACTTTCGCTTGGCTGATTTCATAGGACTGAAAAAATTACTTAGGTGGGCTGAACTGGAATGACCTGACTAAGGGTCAGGTAGGTGGTGATGGTTGCCGATATGATGCTTTCCAGGCATAGTTCTAGCTGCTCAGTCAAATTATGTTCCAAATAGGGAAATCAGATCAAACAAAAATGATCCTAAATGGATGAACAATAGATATAAAATATCTGATTGGTCAAAAGAGAGGCATATATAGGCAAATCAAAAGAGGAGAGGGGCAATTGAGAAATCGATATATTCAGTTAAATGAGAGAAATAAAAAAGGGAATTAGAAAAGCAAAAAGAGATTATGAGGTTAAAGTTGCAAGAGAATCGAAGACTAACCCAAAAGGATTCTTTCAGTATACAGAAGTAAGATCAGGGACAAGATAGGCCCACTCAAAAAGTTCCTCGGGTCAGCTCACTGACAGTGATAAGGAAATGTGTAGAATTTTTAACACATACTTCCTCTCAGTTTTTACACAGAGGATACCAGCGTATTTCCAGTAATGATAAATTATGTAGAACAGGACGATAATAAACTGTGTACGATTAGGGTCACAAGTGACATGGTCCTTAGGCAAATAGATAAATTAAAACCTAACAAATCCCCAGGCCCTGATGAACTGTATGCAAGGGTTCTAAAGGAATGTAAAGAGGAGCTTAGCACACCTTTGGCTAATCTTTTCAACAATATCACTACAACTGGCATTGTGCCAGATAAGTGGAAAAATGGCAAATGTGATACCTATTTTCAAAAACAGGTGACAGGTCCTTGCTTCGAACTATAGACCAATAAGCCTAACCTCCATAGTGGGAAAATTTATGGAATCAATAATTGCCGAGGCAGTTCGTAGCCACCTTGAAAAGCATAAATTAATCAACGAATCTCAGCATGGTTTACAAAGGGGCGTTCCTGCCTTACGAATTTATTAACTTTTTTCACTAAGGTATTTGAGGAGGTAGATCATGGTAATGAATATGATATTGTGTATATGGACTTCAGTAAGGCTTTTGACAGGGTCCCACATCAGAGACTATTGAGGAAAATTAAAGCACATGGAATAGGAGGAGAAATTTTTCCTGGATAGAGGCATGGTTGACAAATAGGCAGCAGAGAGTTTGCATAAATGGGGAGAAATCAGAGTGGGGAAGTGTCACGAGCGGTGTTCCACAGGGGTCAGTGTTGGGCCCCCTGCTGTTCACAATCTACATAAACGACATAGATGAGGGCATAAAGAGCGACATCGGCAAGTTTGCCGATGACACCAAAATAGGCCGTCGAATTCATTCTGACGAGGACATTCGAACACTCCAGGAAGATTTGAATAGACTGATGCAGTGGTGGAGAAGTGGCAGATGCAGTTTAATTATAGACAAATGCAAAGTTCTAAATGTTGGACAGGACAATAACCATGCACATATAAACTAAATAATGTAGATCTTAATATTACGGATTGCGAAAAAGATTTAGGAGTTCTGGTTAGCAGTAATCTGAAACCAAGACAACAGTGCATAAGTGTTCGCAATAAGCTAATAGAATCCTTGGCTTCATATCAAGAAGCATAAATAATAGGAGTCCTCAGGTTGTTCTTCAACTCTATACATCCTTGGTTAGGCCTCATTTAGATTATGCTGCACAGTTTTGGTCACCTTATTACAGAATGGATATAAATTCTCTGGAAATGTACAAAGGAGGATGACAAAGTTGATCCCATGTATCAGAAACCTTCCCTATGAGGATAGACTAAGGGCCCTGAATCTGCACTCTCTAGAAAGACGTAGAATTAGGGGGGATATGATTGAGGTGTATAAATGGAAGACAGGAATAAATAAAGGGGATGTAATATAGTGTGCTGAAAATATCTAGCCTAGACAGGACTCGCAGCAATGGTTTTAAGTTGGAAAAATTCAGATTCAGGAAGGATATAGGAAAGTACTGGTTTGGTAATAGAGTTGTGGATGAGTGGAACAAACTCCCAAGTACCGTTATAGAGGCCAGAACGTTGTGTAGCTTTAAAAATAGGTTGGATAAATACATGAGTGGATGTGGGTGGGTGTGAGTTAGACCTGATAGCTTGTGCTACCAGGTCGGTTGCCGTGTTCCTCCCTTAAGTCAATGTGACCTGACCTGACTAGGTTGGGTGCATTGGCTTAAGCCGGTAGGAGACTTGGACCTGCCTCGCATGGGCCAGTAGGCCTTCTGCAGTGTTCCTTCGTTCTTATGTTCTTATGTTCTTATCACTACCACCCTCTACCACCATTACTACCACCCTCTATGACCATCACTATCACCCTCTACCACCTTCTACCACAATCACTACCACCATCTACCACCATCACAACCACCCACTACCACAGTCACTACCACCCTCACAACCACTACCACCCTCTACCACCATCACTACCACCTTCTGCCACCATCACTACCACTCTCTACCACAATCACTACCACCCTCATAACCACTACCACTCTCTACCACCATCACTACCACCCTCTACTACCATCACTACCACCCTCTACCACCATCACTACCACCCTCTACCACCATCACTACCACCCTCTGCCATCACTACCACCCTCTACCATCATCACTACCACCCTCTACTACCATCACTTACCATCCTCTACCACAATCAGTACCACCCTCACAACCACTACCACCCTCTACCACCATCACTACCACCCTCTACCACCACCACTACCACCCTCTGCCATCACTACCACCCTCTACCATCATCACTACCACCCTCTACTACCATCACTACCATCCTCTACCACAATCAGTACCACCCTCATAACCACTACCACTGTCTACCACCATCACTACCACCCTCTACTACTATCACTACCACCCTCTACCACCATCACTACCACCCTCTTCCACCATCACTACCACCCTCTACCACCACTACCACCTCTACCACCATCACTACCACCCTCTACCACCCTCTACCACCATCACTACCACCCTCTACCACCATCACTACCACCCTCTACCACCACCACTACCACTCTCTACCACCATCACTACTACCCTCTACCACCATCACTACCATCCTCTACTACCATCACTACCACCCTCTACCGACGAGAAACGAAGCAAGACTGACTCAGAACATGTGAGATGTTTTGTGTGTGTGCGGGCGGACACGTTCGGTACGGTGGACCACTGTCAACTCGACGAAAACCGAGGTGATGAACGAAAACTGGGACAAAATTTTGACTAAAAAAGTCGTCGAAAACTGAATTCGGCAAAAACCAGGGCAAACAAAAACCTTTGGGGATTTTCTTTCCTTTTGAGTCACCCTGCCTCGGTGGGAGATGACCTATGTGTTAAAAAAAAATACACTCGTATTAAACAAATAATTAACCACTGAAATACTTTATCTTTACCTGCTTTCAACATTTCAGTCATTTTCTCATCCATCCCAGTTTCTTTTCCATCTCTCAATTTCCTCTTTCACTTTCCTTCATAGTCACTTCTTATCCTTCATCCATTGTAATTAGAATAGTTTTTTTTCCTTGTCCCAAGGGCAAAATTTCTGTTTCTGCTTGATTTTTACAAAGCTTTTCAAAATATTCTCTCGGGGTCTAGTTCCTTTATTGCCTTATTCAGTATCTCACCACTTTTCACTCTCTACGAATGAATTTATTTTGTGATTTTCTCACGATTATTGATGACTCCTCTAAACTGTCTTATTCTCAATGTTATTTGCTGGCAGTGCATCACCCCTTCTTTTACTACATTATCAACTTATGGCACACACTGCACATATTCAGTCTTGTGTAGTTAGGTACCGGGCTCTTGGATTGTGGAATATGGGGATACCTTTATTGGATCACACAATGACTGAATTATATCTAGTTATTGTTATTTATATCAAACATTTGGTATGGCATATAGTACTCTCTTGATAACAGGAATCCTTTAATTTTTCTATATATCCCTTGCCAGCAGCAAAATTGTTCTCAGGTGGTTCCCTGTCCGGTTACTAGCAAGATTCATTAGTGTTCACTGAGAAATGCATCATCTATGGTGCCACACCTCATGCCTGATTATTTTTTGTTAGGTTTTATTGCATTATTCATTGCTAAATATTTAACATTTTCACCTTGATTGATTTGTAGTTTTATGCATTACAGGTTCCTCGTGATGGAAGTGTAAATGATCGTGCCAGCCTTACCATTCCATGGCCTCTAATCCTTATTGACTCTAAAGTGAATGGTGCTGGAAAGGGAGTGTCAACCACTGCCACCTTACCCCAGGGACTAGTTTTTGGACCCTGTGAGGGTAAGATTATGAAAAAATCTGACAGAATATCAGGATACGGATGGGAGGTAAATAAATTTTTCCATGACTGTTCTGTGATCTTTGTAAGGTGCCCAGCGTACTTTGCCTGTGCTTCCTGAGAAAGTATCATCTTATTTAAACTTTCTTTACACATAATTAATTTTATTATAATACATATTATCCCTGGGAAAAACAAGCAAATTTTGAATGGACATATATTAAGTGATCATGATTTTTTGTCTGATTGAAAATTTGATAATATCTCACTCACACTGTCTTGGTGAGAAAACATATTTTAACCTTTTTTAAGCATTAGCCTGTTGTGACATATTTTGCTTAAAAAGTCATTAATTCAAGCAAATATCTGGATTTTCTATCTGATATTTTCTTGTATTTTTCTTTTTTTTACTCACTGTAACCTGATGGAGTAGATAGGTTGATCACTTCACTGTCTAGGTCATTCCACTTCCTGACCACAGTTAACTGAAAGAAATATTTCCTAACATTCCTGTGTTTTTAACTTCTAACTGTGCTTTCATGTACCTGAGACCTTGCCTCTCAAACAGACTTACCCTGTCTTCTCTGTCAATTCTTCTTGGTATTTTGTATGCCATAACCATGTCACCTCTGGTCCTTCTGTCCTCTAATGATGTTCAGTTTAGCTCCTCTAGAGTCTCTTCATAGCTCATATCTCAGCTCAGGAACTAGTTTTGTTGCAGAAATTTCTAGCTTCTTAATATGCTTTATTAAGCAAGGGTTCCTTCTGGTTCTGCAATACTCCGAGATGGGCCTGACATTTGCCATGTATAGTCATGAATACCTCCTTGTTGAGGTTGATGACAACTACCCTTAAATTTGTCAGCCACATGTTTGCTGCAGTTATTTGATTAATGTGTGCCTCAGGTGAAATGCTCACCCTGAGGTCCTTATCTTCCATGGAGGTTTGCAGCCTTTGTTCTCCTTGTCTGCATTGTGTGTATAGTCGGCTTGTCCCTTCCTTTATAACTTTGTATTTGTTGGTCTGACACCATGTGTCAGACCATATCCATTTATAGTCCATATCCATTTATAGTCTTTCCTGGCTGTTCTGTTTGTATTTCTTTTCTTTAACATGCTGGCTGTCTCCTACTTCAAACTGCAAGCTTTTCAAGTGCAAATAGTCTCCTCATTATCTGTGAATAGGATCCTCAAGACTTGATTTCCTGTTATATCATATACATACGCTAGAAACGGTACTAATCTTATAATACTGACAGTTGTGGAATCCTACTTATCATACTCACCCATTCCATCACCTCCTTCTAAACAGCAACTCTTTGCGTCCTTTCTGTTTTGATCCACTGTAGTGCTTTCTTTGATATTCCTGCCTGCTCCTCTAGCTTATGTGCCAGTCTCTTGTGGGGTACTGTTTGAGTTTACTGTACTTGGAAGTAGTTCATGTAATAAATGTGGTCAAGAGCTGCTTGGCCCTGGTTGCCTATAGGACCAGTAGTGACGCAGGTGAAATGGATAATATATTCTCACCAATTATGGTTTTATTAGTCTCCTTTTCCCATAATACATTTGCTGTGGATACAGTTTTCTTAGCATTGAGCTCTTTTTGTTTTTTCCATACCTGCATCTTTTATCCTTTCTTCTTTTCTTTTACTTTCTCACTTGTTCAGGAATTGTTTCAGCTTATTTTCATTATAGCTAGACAAGCATGTGAAATTCTTTGATAGATATGCCAGGTGTTGACAGTAGGATTAATAATGTATTATAAAGATTTTTTCAAGTTCTCCTATATTTTCAGATCTTCGGGAGATATAACATAGAAATTGATGCTGAGGATACTTCTGTAAGCAACTGGCTTCGCTACATCAACTGTGCTAGAAATTATACAGAAATAAATCTTATTGCAATGCAGATTCAGAATGAAATATTCTGTGTCACCAATGGTATAATAGAAAGGTTTGCATTTATTTCTTTAATATTTAACAAATTTTAAAAATGAAAGAAATATTTTGAAATGTATAGTGAAAGATAGTGTGAAATGAAGTAAGTTTAAAAAAAAGATGTCTCTCTCCATCCTCCATTTTTTATCTAGTGTTTGCCTATCTTTGATATATAATCACCTGTTGCTCGCAGGTGGCTACCCTATTTATAACTGACTAGGAGTGAGAGGAATTCCCAGATTTTACCAAACCCTACACAATACACATAATCAGAATTGTTTATTCTTTGTTGTGGTGGGACATATCACTAGGAATCCTCCCACTGGTATTATCAGTCATAGTAGAGGCTGATATTATCCTGAGGGTGTGAACTTAAGGGACAGGAAACTCATAACCTGTTAAACAATTTTAGAACCTACACTGCTTGAGAAACTTTTTGGCCTTGATATAATTGCATAGAGCTCTGTTGTGCATCATGAGCAAAATTCTATATTTGTAGAAAGTGTGGTTGGCTGAAGTCACCATCCTACTAGACAAAAAAATCCTGATCATTGTGCACATGCACCCACTTGTATGACCTCCACAAACCTTCGGTAATTGTGAACAAACTCATCTTAGACATGTATTCATGAGGTTTACTAATGTTAGGGCTACAGTGTAATTTGCATAGACTTTGTGAACTCACTGAATGGTTGTTTGGGTATGATGCTCTCTTCTAATTATTCTGGTATCTGCCATATCACATATGACTTTAAACATTATGTTAGAGCAGGTTAACATTTTTGACCTGTGATGCAAGAGAGGCCCTGAGGGAATATTCTGAACTGAGAAGTTTCTTCTTTGTGATTTACATTTTATAAAATCTTAAGTACAAAGAAAGCCACTAACATGCCTGAGCATTTTGGCAGACTAATCAGACTACAGACTACTTAAAACTAGACATAGGTTATAGAGTGATAAATTTCAATTATTCATTATTTTACCTTAGTACTGAAGTGAGGTAGCCAAAAATTCCATAATTAAAAAGATTTATTAATACATACAGTGATTATCTGTTTGTTTGTGCAAGGTAACATTTGTGAAGCTATTCAGGGAAGCCTGTTATTCAGACTTGAGTCCTACAAAAAAAACAATCATGGAACGAGTGGGGTTAGAACCCATGGCAAATGAGTTGCAAAACTTCAGGCCAGTGTGTAAATCAGTGGCTTATGCACTAGCCTGGAGTTTTACGACTCATTCACCATGGTTTCTAGCCCCATCTGATCTGTGGTTTGTTTGCAATTGTGTTATTATGATCTCATGAGTCAATGATTCCTAGATGTGGGAGGTATAGTGCCTACACTCTGAAGGAGGGGTTGGGGATATTTGCGGTTTGGAGGGGCAACTGAACTGTAGTATTCATTCACCTCTGACAAGACAGTGATAAAGTGAATGATGAAAGTATTTCTTTTTCGGGTCACCCTACTGTTGTGGGAGACGGCTAGTGTGTTAAAAAAAAAAAAAGTTACAGGAACAGAGCTAAACTCAAGGTGCCATGTTTACAGTAAGTTAGGCTGCTGTTTATTTGAATTCAAATTACAAACTAAGGGCATTTTTACAGATTCCACATATGAATATTAGTGTAACTTTTTCCCCCTTGCTAACATTTTGCAGAATATATAAAATGTGTACACAGTTTTCCTTCATCTTTTATGATCATTTGACCTCTCTATAAATCTGACTAAACCTCTCCTGTGTTACAGAGAGACTTGTGCAGAGTTAGATAACTTTATTTAGGAAAGAAACTTCTTACATTTATCTCTATGTCTAAATTTTCACATACTGTGTTGTAGATGTAATTGTCTATTATAACTATCATCTCTCCATAAGGAAATGGAGAAGAATCCTTCTGTAAGCCATGTGTGTTGTAAGAGGCGACTATAATGCTGGTAGCAAGGGGCTAGTAACCCCTTCTCCCATATGAATTACTAAATGTAAAATGGACTTTCGCTTTTCTTTTTGGGTCACCCTGATTTGGTGGGATATGGCTGGTTTGTTAAAAAAAAAAAAGATCATCTCTCCACAGGGAAGTGGAGAAAAATCCTTTTTTAGTTAGCCATGTTTGTCATAAGAAGCTACTAAAATGCCAGGAGCAAGGGGCTAATAACCCCTTCTCCTGTATACCTTACTAAATTTAAAAAGAGAAACCTTTTTTTTCTTCTTTTTGAGTCACCCTGCCTCAGTGGGATATGGCCGGTTTGTTGAAAGAAAGAAAGTAAAAGGAGAAACTTTCGGTTTTCTTTTTGGGCCACCCCTCCTCTGTGGGATACAGCCGGTGCATTGAAAGAAAGAAAAAGAAGAAAAACTTACTGAAAATATTTCTTCTTTCTCAGGTCACCCTGTCTCAGTGAGAGATGGCAAATGCTTTAAAAAAAATTATTAGTTCTCTGTTAAGGTAATGTATTAATTTTCATGATGGTTTTTGGCTTGAATTTAGAATATAAAATAAATATAGTGTGCTTTTTTTCCAACAGAGGTACAGAGTTGATGGTGTGGTATGGAGCAGCATATGGAAATTGGCTAGGAATATCACCAGGGGAATTTTTCAAACCACAGCTGAAAGGTAGGTGTTATTTCCTGTATATCATCATTATCATTATCATCATCAATCATCATCTGGAGTATACCTGGAGAGAGTTCCGGGGGTCAAAGCCCACATGGCCCGGTCTGTGACAATATAGTTTTTATTTCTTATAGTACTACAGTACAAATTATGTAGATTACATGTAGTAAAACATTGGTAGGTACAAAAGAAAGTTGTCATCATTACTACTACTACCACCACTACTACTATTACTACTACCCCCACTATTACTACTATTACCATACTGCTGCCGCCGCCGCCGCTGCCGCCGCCACTGCCGCCACAGCTGCCACCACCACTGACACCACCACCACCACCACTGACACCACCACTGACACCACCACTGACACCACCACTGACACCACCACTGACACCACCACTGACACCACCACCACTGGCACCACCGCCACCACCACAAAAAGAAGTAGAAGAAGAAGAAAAAGAAGTCGACTATCACTGATCCGGCAGTCATTAATCTGGTTCCACCACTAATTGAACACTATTTTCGGCTAGCATAATTTAAAATTTACTGGTCTAAAAGGTCTAGAACAACACAGTTTTATAAGTGAGCAAGAAATAATGAATGTTTACATGCTGCAGGATAAACTAATCAAAGAAAGGCTAAAATATATGACACGGCTCAGCTTGCAAGATACATTAAAAAAAGTAACTAAAAAAGTGTGCAACAAAGTGTAGTGCCTTCAACATCTGCTCACTAGATGTGCTGCCATTGTCATCATCAGTTCCTGATATCTCATTTATATTCCAAGATGAAGAAGATACCAATCCTGACAGCCCTTCACCTCAAGATATGTAAATGTGTTTAGTTGTAGATTTCAGGTCTTCACTCTGGAAGTGGCAGTGATGAACTTTCTTGCGTAAGTCATGTTGGTTAACTTTATTAACCAGCTTGTACTGATTTATGGAGCATTTTAACCCTTTCAGGGTTTCCGATGTACTAGTACGGCTTACGCACCAGGGTTATTGACATACTAATACGCGTAAATTCTAGCACCTTCAAATCTAGGGAGAGAAAGCTGGTAGGCCTACATATGGAAGAATGGGTCTATATGGTCAGTGTGCACAGTATAAAAAAAATCCTGCAGCACACAGTGCATAATGAGAAAAAAAGAACAGCTTTGCACTATATTTTTGTATGGTATTTATGGTTGTATTCTAGTTTTCCTGGTCTCATTTTATAGAATGGAAGACATATTACAGAAATTGGGATGTTTTGATTTGTTTCACAATGAGAAGTACCTTGAAACTGAGCTCAAAGTAGCAGAAGTGTTTGATTTTTGCCAAAGTTCAAAAGTAAACAAATCATGCCACGTGTCCAATACACGTCAACTGGTGAGTCAGATATTCTTTCACAAGTGCACTTATATTATCTATACCATTTCTACACTAATGCAGTAGTCTCCATAACAGTAAATCTTCTATTATTTGTGAGAATAAAAATTCAAAGTGGAAAACAAAAGAAATGTAAGAGGGGCATGGGGATGTGACTAATAAACAGAGGAAATGTTTTAGTGCCAGGAATATCTGTCTTGTTTATTCTGGACCCTATTTGGAAATTGGCATCTTTTGAAATTTGTGTGAAATTGGCAAAATTGCTAATTTCTGACCACTTTATTGGATAGTTGAAATCAGTAAATGGGTGGTTTCTTGTACTCATTTGATAGAAAAAATGGAGTTCTAGCAAAATACTTATAATTTTTGTCGACTAGTACACTGGAATTAGCAGAAAATAGGGCTCAAAGTGAGCGAAATCGCCAATGCGTAAACATTGTCGAGACCGCTAACTTCGCGAGAGCATAATTCCGTAAGTTTTCCATCAAATTTCATACTTTTGATGTCATTATGATCGAGAAAAGATTCTCTATCTTTTTCACGAGAAAAATAATTTTTTTTCCAAAAAATTTTTGACCCTGAGAACAAGTTTAGGAGAGGGCCTGTCGACCCTGAAAGGGTTAAAGGTAAGATGAGGTAGTTAGCTGTTGGGTTATGTGTATTCCAACCTAACCACTCTGTGATCTGGCAAAATCACTAATCCAGCAACCTACAGGTCCCAGTGATGCCAGATTACTGATGGTTGACCACTACTTCTACTACTACTGCTGCTACTGCTATGCTGCTACTACTATGCTGCTACTACTATGCTGCTACTACTATTGCTACTGCTACTACTATCATTATTACTATTCTACTGCTGACTGCTACTATTATTACTACTACTGGCTGCTACTACTACTCTACTACTAGCTAATACTACTGCTAATACTGCTACTACTACTGCTGCTACTGTTATGCTGCTACTACTATGCTGCTACTACTATGCTGCTACTACTATGCTGCTACTACTATGCTGCTACTACTACTGCTACTGCTACTACTACTACTACTACTACTACTACTACTACTACTACTACTACTACTACTACTATTACTACTACTGCTGCTGCTACTACTGCTACTACTACTACTACTACTACTACTACTACTACTACTACTACTACTACTACTACTTCTACTGCTACTACTATGCTGCTACTACTACTGCTATACTGCTGCTGCTACTGCTATGCTGCTACTGCTATGCTGATATGCTGCTACTGCTATGCTGCTGCTATGCTGCTATGCTGCTGCTGCTGCTGCTATGCTGCTGCTGCTGCTATGCTGCTGCTGCTGCTGCTGCTGCTATGCTGCTGCTGCTGCTGCTGCTATGCTGCTGCTGCTGCTGCTGCTACTGCTGCTGCTGCTGCTGCTGCTCCTGCTGCTGCTGCTGCTTCTGCTGCTGCTGCTGCTCCTGCTGCTCCTGCTGCTGCTGCCTGCTGCGTGCTGCCTGCTGCTCTGCTGCTCTGCTGCTCCTGGCTCCTGCTTCTCTGCTGCTGCTGCTCCTGCTGCTCTGCTGCTGCTCCTGCTGCTGCTGCTCCTGCTGCTGCCTTGCTGCTGCTGCTGCTGCTGCTGCTGCTATCTGGCTCCTGCTGCTGCTGCTCCTGCTGCCTGCTCCGCTGCTGTGCTCCCTGTTGCTCCTGCTGCTGGCTGCGCTGCTGCTTGCTCCTGCTGCTCCTGCTGCTGCTGCTGCTCTGCTGCTGTGCTGCTGCTCTGCTCTGTCTGCTGCTGCTGCTCCTGCTGCTGCTGCTCCTCTGCTCCTCCTGCTGCTGCTGCTGCTGCTGCTGCTGCTGCTGCTGCTGCTGCTCCTGTCTCTGCTGCTGCTGCCTGCTCCTGCTGCTGCTGCTGCTCTGCTGCTCCTGCTGCTCCCGCTCCTGCTGCTGCTGCTGCTGCTGCTCTGCTGCCTGCTGCTCCTGCTTGCTGCTCCCTGCTGCTCCTGCTGCTCCTGCTCCTGCTGCCTCCCTGCTTGCTGCCTGCTGCCTTGCTGCTCCTGTTGCTCTGCTGCTGCTCCTGGCTGCTCCTGCTGTCCTGCTGCTGCTGCTGCTCCTGCTGCTGCCTGCTGCTCTGTCTGACTGCTCCTGCTGCTGCTGCTCCTGCTCCTGCTGCTGCTCTGCTCCTGCTGCTCCTGCTGCTGCTGCTCCTGCTGCTCCTGCCTGCTCCTGCTCCTGCTGCTTCTCCTGCTGGCTGCTCTGCTGCTGCCTGCTGCTGCTGCTGCTCCTGCTTGCTCTGCTGCTCCGCTGCTCTGCTCCTGCTGCTGCTGCTGCTCCGCTGCTCTGCTCCTGCTGCTCCTGCTCTCTGCTTGCTGCTCCTGTCCTGCTCTGCTGCTCTGCTTCTCCTGCTGCTGCTGTGCTCCTGCTTGCTGCTGCTTGCTCCTGCTGCTCCTGCTGCTGCTCCTGCTCCTGCTGCTCCTGCTGCTCTGCTCCTGCTCTGCCTGCGCTCCTGCTGCTCTCTGCTCCTGCTGCTTCCTGCTGGTGCTGCTGCTGCTGCTCCTGCTGCTGCTGCTCGCTCCTGCTCTGCTTGCTCCTGCTGCTGTGCTGCTGCTCCTGCTGCTGCCTCCTGCTTGCTGCTGCTCCTGCTCTGCTCTGCTGCTCCTCTGCTGCTGCTGCTCCTGCTCCGCTGCTCCTCTGCTCTCTGTCTGCTCTCTGCTGCTCCTGCTGCTCTGCTCTGCGCTGCTCCTGCTGCCTGCCTGCTGCTCCTGCTCGCTGCTCCTGCCCCTGCTGCTGCTGCTGCTGCTGCTGTCCTGCTGCTCTGCTCCCTGCTCCTGGCTGCTGCTGCCTGCTCCGCTGCTCCTGCTGCTGCTCTGCTCCTGCTGCTGCTGCTGCTGCTCCTGCTGCTCCTGCTGCTGCTGCTCCTGCTGCTGCTCTGTGTGCTCTCCTGACTTGCTGCTCCTGCTGCTGTCTGTCCTGCTGCTCTGCTCCTGCTGCTCTGCTGCTCCTGCTCTGCTCTGTGCTCCTGCCTCTGCTGCTGCTGCTGCTGCTGCTCTGCTGCTCTGCTGCTCTGCTGCTCCTGCTCTGCTGCTGCTCTCTGCTCCTGCGCTCCTCTGCTACTGCTCTCTGCTGCTGCCTGCTCCTGTTCTGTGTGCTCTCCTGCTCTTTGATGACTGTCTGTTCAAATGTTCAGAATGCATCTCTCAACTGCCGCCACGTGGCGGTGTGACCCAGCATCATGATGACTGACGCTCCCTCTCCCCTGAAACTACCTCTTTTTTCTGATTTCAACTATCCATAAGTGTCAGAAATGGCATTTGCCAATTTCCACAAATTCAAGATGCCAATTGCCAAATAGGGTCCAGAATAAACAAGAAAGACATTTCTGGCACTAAAATAACATTTTTTCTGTTACTTAGTCATGTCCCCATGCCTCTCTTACATTCTTTTGCTTTCCACTTTGAATTTTTATTCTGGAGTTTACCTGGAGAGAGTTCCGGGGGTCAACGCCCCTGCGGCCCGGTATGTGACCAGGCCTCCTGGTGGATCAGAGCCTGATCAACCAGGCTGTTGCTGCTGGCTGCACGTAAACCAACGTACGAGCCACAGCCCGGCTGGTCAGGAACCGACTTTAGGTGCTTGTCCAGTGCCAGCTTG